AATTCAAAAACTAGTATCTTGCACTAAAGATGCATTACCTGAACTATCAACAGAAGGTGTATATCGGATTAATTGTTCATGTGGCAGCTGCTACATTGGGCAGACGGGACGTAACATCAGCGTAAGACTAAAAGAACATCAGAGAAATATTAAATTATCTCAAACACAACTGTCGGCAGTGGCAGAACATGCTTGTCAACAAGGACACTCAATTGATTTTGACAATGTTGCAGTGGTGTGTAAAACGAATTATTACTGGCAAAGACTAATTAGAGAATCCATTGAAATTGAGAGGAACAAGAATAACTTTAATCGCTCTGACAGCTACCGGCTTAGTGCGGCCTGGAAGCGTATTATTAAATAATACACATTACATTTAAAGAATTACTAATCTACAACTCATTACTAATCATAACCAATGACTGATTACTAATCGATTATATAATTACAATACCCCCCCCTCCGCCTCTAATCACTGCACCTGATATGAGTTAAGTGATGACGTCACCCTGCTGCTCTATATAAAAACCGGGAGCAAGCGAGGGCTTTACCATTCTGGCGAATTGCTTGATGATGCTGGATGTATTTACCAGCGAAACGTCATACTCAAACTGTAAATGTGGATTAACTCTTCAACACACCGGTGGGCTGAAGTAGTGAATTATTTGTCTTTTGTCAACGTGACACTTTTTTTTGCTGATTGGCCGTGTCGGGTGGTGGAGGGTTACGACACATTTATAAATAAACGCGATCTAACCCAAAAACCTTTATTATGAGTGATTCAGAGAGTCTAATCCAGCAGATGTGGTGCTGTATTTTTTTCGGAACCCAGATTGTTTTAGATGTAGTAGATTGTTGGTGGACAGGAAAAAAATTCATCAACGGGGAGAAAATTAAGATAGGTCGGTAGTTATTTGGATCATCTTTAGGGCCCCCTTTGTGAAGTGGACGGACATAGGAATGTTTCCATTCTAGAGGAACTGATGCTTCTTTGATGGACAGGTTGAAAATATGGGCTATAGGTTTGTATGACCAATAGTTAGTAGAGCAAAGACGGGAATACTATCTGCTCCGGTAGAGGAGGAGCCTTTGAGGTAGGACAGTTGTTTCAGAACATTACTTTCGTGGATTGGCTGGAAACTAAATTCGTTTAATGTTTGGACAGGGGTGTAGGAATTTGCATGAGCAGGGGTGACTCCCAATACATTATCAAAAGATTACCAGCTTTAGAAAAATGAAGGCTAAAATTGTCAACTATTTTTTTGGGATCTGAAAAATATTCCCCATTTCGGTTAAGCTCAATGGGCAGATTGTCTGTTTTGGATGCCTTTTCAATACATTTGATTGTTTTCCAGAAAATCCTGGTATTTCTATGTGATTCCAGGAGAGTGGAGGAAAAGTAGGCATTTTTTGCATGCCGTATTTTTTTGACGCATCTATTCCTTAAAATCCTGTATTTTAGCCAGTCATTGACCAAATTACTTTTCTGAGCACATGCCCAAGCCTTGTCCCTAGTTTTCATAAAACTTTGTAATCAAAGGATCAAACCATGGTGGGCGGTTGCCTTTAGTTTTAAATCTAACCAACGGAGCATGTTTGTTAAGAATTTGGAGAAACGTGTACCTGAAGGTCTCCCAAGTCGTAGTCAGTTTGGGGATATCACAGACCTTGTCAATATCCGAGTGAAGCGCATCATTAGTAAATGCCTGAGTGCTGAAGTGTCTCATAGAGTGCTGCTCAAGCAATTTAGGGGGGGCTTTGGGTCTGGCTGATGATCTCACCCCAAAAATGAAGGAGTGATCACTAAGGTTATTACCCAGAACACCAGTCAGTGTGAAATTGTGAGGGGCATTTGTCAATAGGACGTCAAGCAGAGATGACTGTCCTGGATTTTTTAGGTTGGGTCTTGTGGGGACATTTATTAATTGAAACAGATGAAATTAATCTACTAAATTTGTGGCCACGGCTGGCGGGTTTAGCCAATTCCAATTTAGATCACCCACTAAAACTATTTCACCTTTAGGGAGGCCCCCAAAAAACCTCTCTCAGTGCAGATGCAGCTTCAACATCCTTCCCACTAGGCGGTCGATAGCAGCACACTACCAATATCTGTTGATTATTTGGGAGAGTTATTTTTAGAGCCAGACCTTCAAAGCACCATTTTTTAAACAAGGAGTGAGCTGGTGAACATGCAATAGTATTACGGACATAGATGGCAATTCTACCTCCTTTAGATCCTCGGTCAAGCCGAAAAAGGTTGTAGTTGTCAATCGCAATCTGCAAGTCATTGACGGCAGGAGAAATGTTTCTGTTAGGCAAAAAATGTCCGGGTCAAGATTTGCCACTTCTAGTTTTAGTTGACTTAATTTAATCACAAGCCCTCTGATGTTGACATGTAGAACACCAACACCTTTCCTGCCAGAAAAATCTACAGAATTATACGAGTTCTTTTCATTTGGGCCAGGATGAAGCTCAATACCACCCAGAAATAAGAAAAGTATAATTAATAGTTTGCACAAGTATTTTCTGTGAAAGGATGAAGAGCGGCGAACCTTGGACGAATAGCAGTAGCTCGCAGATGGTGTTATTTTTAAGAGCAGAATGAAGTTTGGAAGGAGTGCTGGTGAAGTAATGGGACAAAGATAGGGTTTATAAGGATACAATGATGGAGTGCAGAAGCGTCTATGAGCTGTTTCATTAGCAGGTGTAGTGGCAAATAGAGCAACAAGTATGGACGCAAAGTAATGAGGGTAGCTGTTTGTAGAGTTGAGTGTGGCACTAGATATGGCAGCAGTATGATACACAGCAGGAGAATTGCCATCTCTAAAATATCCGGGGTAAACACAGATTAACACACAAGTGGAAAAGAAAAAAATATATATACTTGTAGGCCGAGCACGAGAAAACGTCTTGCCGTCAGCAGAGCCCACAACAGCTAAAAATCAGCAGATTTTTAGCTGTTGTGGGCTCGGCTGAACCGCTTGCACCACCTTATTTCAGGATGGTGCTCGAGCTAGCCCTCCTTGAGCTCAGCCCACGACTGGAATGTCGTTTCTTGGCCTCTCGTGTCTCTGCTTGGCCGTCTTGACGATCTCCAGGAACACAGCTTGGGGTCCGTAGCAATGTTGCCTTGGCAGGAACACAGCTTGGGGTCCGTAGCAATGTTGCCTTGGCATTTACACAGCTTGGGGTCCGTGGCAATGCTGCCTTGGCAGGAACACAGCTTGGGGTCCGTAGCAATGTTGCCTTGGCATTTACACAGTTTGGGGTCCGTGGCAATGCTGCCCTGGCAGGAACACAGCCTGGGGTCCGTGGCAATGTTGCCCTGGCAGGAACACAGCTTGGGGTCCGTGGCAATGTTGTCTTGGCAGGAACACAGCTTGGAGTCTGTGGCAATGTTGCCTTAGCAGGAACACAGCTTGGGGTCCGTGGCAATGCCGCCTTGGCAGGAACACAGCTTGTGGTCCGTCGCACTATTAACTAGGCCTCACTCAGACTGCGCCATGGGCGCGATCAACCAGGCCTCACTCACCACACTATCACACTCACACAGAGTGCACATCACCACAAAGATAACAAAGAACAAAGATCCCCCATATAGCCTTAACAGGGCAAGTGCTGTTAGCGAGCACCTATGAAGGCCGGAACGGTACACGAGGGGGTAGGTGGCCAGCACCACGCCCGACCGCCTTTGTCTCCCTAGTGGCAATGTTTACACACCGCACCAGGTACTCATTTGAGGCTGAGTCGACCTAGGGGAGGCCCGGGACCGGTTCAGATAATCGTCACTGGTGTTGGCCGTGAGCGGGAATCGAACCAGGGTCACCAGGTTCATAGCGCAGTGCGCTAACCGCTACACTACCGCTCCCCACCACACCATCACACACACGAACGAAGAAGTCCCTCTCGTCACGGCCACCCTCACACGGCTCACTCACACGCAGCTCACACGCAGCTCATTCTCACTAACATTTTCACACACTCACGCACAGTTTACACTCACGCTGCTACACACGCCGCCGCCAGAAAAAAGGGGAAAACCTATTCTCATATTTTGGTACTGGCAAAGGAGGTCACATGATGAACGTCAATTGCTTAGGACAACTGAAAGTTAGGAGAGAGGCCACGTGGAATAAGGCTACCACCAAATCTCTGGAAGGCTCAACCAGAACACGCGGTAGGTGAGCTGGCGGCTCCTGCCTCTGTCAAGCCCTGCCCACTTTGACATAGCCACGCCCACTCAACCGCTGTTCCTATCCACACACAGAGGGGACTGAGCTCACAAGATGGCCTTACCCACTACTCATAGGCCCTGCCCACTCCCCATACAGCCCCGCCCATTACTCAGGTAGCCCCGCCCATTACCCAGAGAGCTCCGCCCTTTGCCTGCATCCCGAGTCGAGCATGAAGCCAGCACAATGTTCGACTGGGACAAAAATCCCAACGTTCACAAAGGTTTCACGACACCACTATGGCTGTCCGGAACCGGGACATCTGGTAGTTTCACACATGGATTTCATTACAATTTGCTATTGGATTGACAACCAATGAACACAAGCTTAGAATTATCATGCAGCCAAGGGAGGTAACTCATTTTATTACGATAAAAAAATGATATTTGCTGTGGAAATGCACAAAAGATCAAGCGGCCAACCAAAAACACCAATATAAAAGCAGTAATAGGTGAGAGTTAACGCTTCTCTTGAACTGAGCAAAGTTACAAGGGCTTCGGAAATAAGACGATTAATGTCCATGGATATAGTGGATAAAGGGTGAAGTGATGGATATACTACGGCACGCGTGCCAACAAGGGTGCCATGGTGGCGAGATGGTAACTCCCTTGTTTGGTAAACAGGAGGTCGTGGGTTCAATCCCAACCATGACGTCTGTATATTTGGAGTTTGCATGTTCTCCCTGTGGTTGCGTGGATTTTTCTCCGGGTCCTCACACATTTAGAAACATACGTTTAGAGTATATGGCTGCTATAAATTTCCACACCATGACAAGCCACTTCGTTGAGCTATCATTTGTGGCCCGATCGCTTCTATTTAAGAGCTATATAGCTCAGTGGGTCTTACCTGGTAAAATAAAATAGTATCGTTTAAAACAAGATGGTTTGCAGTTAGCTGCACATGCCCAGTGGTATTGGCAGTAGGCGGTGGATGAACAGACCTTCCTGAGAATAGTTCACGATTAAAATTTCCACTTATTATTATGGGCAGACACGTCGCCACCGTTGGAGACGGTTCTTACGCCACGCTGAAAAAAATAGTTGAAATGTTTCTCGGCTTGCTGTGCTGTGGAGAACAGCACAAATTAGGTTCATACCGATCGCACCACCGTCGGCTTACGTTTTTAAATGAAAGTGCGCATGGCTCTTGTGAAACGCGGCTGCCGTTGCTGCATCGGCGGTTGTCTTGGTTGTGTCGATGTTGCGAGGCTGTTGAGGTGTAAGGAGTAAGCCGCATCGCTATTTGCTGGTTAAGGGCTCTTTATTTCTGCTTAATTTAACGCTGCTATTAACTTGGTGGTAATGACACCAACAGTTTGGAATAATGCTACAGAAACACTGCCGACATGAATTCAAGCCATGCTGTTTGTGGCATTTTAATCAGCGGGCTTCAGCATTAAAATGAAGAATAAATGCATCAAATGGCAGGAATCTTTCTGGATTACCCACTAAGTTGCATTCCATAGCCCTCTGTGCACGTTGACCATAGCATATTAGAAATAAGTTCACCCTTCGACAACAGAATTGCAAGAGATCTGACCTTTAGAGTGTGTGGTGATTATCCAGCTGGTGTCTTGCAGGGCATGACAAGACACATATGTACACTACATATATACACAGTAATACATATTCTTTGGGTCTTTCGGTAAAGTCACGTCGATGGGTTCAAAGAAAATAACAAAACACTTCAGAAAGACGACCGCTTGTGTTGCGATCAAAACGTCGTAGTTTTTTGTTTTTTTAACCTATCTACGTGACTTTACCGAAAGACCCAAATAATATGAATTCCTGCAGTCACAAAAGCTTTAAGTTAACACAGTAATACAGTTGAGTACAATTTGTATTAAATAGTGCATCTCAAGATCCCACACCTAAACACTGTGCATGTTTATTTTGTAGAGAGAGGCAGTAAGTCATTGGTAGATGGAACAAAACATTTGATTATTGAGCCTAGGATTAAACGGGTTCAGGGAGCCCACAGCATGATTGGCAGGGGGAAGGGAGTCAAACTAAACTAAAAACTAAACGAAAAACTAAACTTTTTTTTTATTTTACCAGGTAAGGCCCACTGAGCTATGTAGCTCTTATTCAGAAGCAACCTGGCTATCATGTGGAAATTTACAGCAGCCAAATACTCTAAGCGGATGTTTCTAAATAATGGAGGGAAAATGAGCAGCATATACAGTGTCCATTGTCAGATGATAACAGCAGAGATCCTAGTCAGTGACAGTCAGTTCATGTTTTCATATGAACCCCAGTGTAGGTCATTGAGAAATGAATACAGAGCAGTTTTGGGCATTGGCAGATATGACTGCAGTAGCTCAGCAATGGGGATTTTTCGTGGGTAGATGTGAAAGGGGACTGTGTCACATGACCATCAGACAGACCTGTGTGTCTGCATCCATTATATAAACATATAGTGTGTACGCTGTAGATTTTCAATATTTGTGTACGTGTCATGACATGTTTGCTATGTGGGCCTCACTTGAGGGCCTGGGCGACAAAGAAATCTAAAATAACATACAAATATATGTTTTCAATGTCACATTAGCTTCGTAAAGTTACATAATCATACGTATGTAGCATAAAAATCACAATGCTGTAACATGTATCTGTGTTAACAAATCCGGCAATTTTTACTGCTTGTAATCCGGCCATCTATCCCAGCGGGTACACGTGACCCGACTCTTACTCTGCTTGCGTACGAGGTGGACACTTCCAAAACCGAAAAATCTCCAGCTGTGCACAAACCCAAGCGCACAGCCGAATCTGGGAGCAGCGCGGCCATTTGAATGATCGCACTAGACCGCGGCAAGGTAAGGTAAAAGGTAAAAACAACGAGCCTACCTTTACCTTACCTTTTACCTTACCACGATCAAATTACCCGATTTACAGGGTAATTAACGGGGTACTACACATGAAAAAGGTTTATAATAGGTAAATGCTAAGTAGAGCGCTTTATTCACCGCCCTCCATAACCTCATCCCAGTCGTCTTGGTTGATGACTATCTCATTAACAACCTGATCAAGTTCGTCATTGCCGTCGTCCTCGGATGAATGACAGGCAATAAGATCCTGCGCCGCTCCGGCCCATTTAGACAGGACCTTGAGGCAGCTGGCCGCAATCCATGAGTGCAAGCACATGGACTGGATGAAGAGCGTCAACGACAGCGACTGGCAAACACGTGTGAACTCCCGCCCGGCTCCGCTATTCGCGCGTTCGCAGGGAGTTGATCTCACTGGCGCTCTAAAGTAGTCGCAGGCCATCTTGTCGTGGGCGGGGAGCAGCTCTTTGCGGGGAGACCATCACTGCATTACGTCAATGAAGGCGCTGGCGGTCTGACGCCCATGCTCAGAAAACGATCGACTTCATCGCCGTCATCGATGGAGCTGCCGACGTTGCTGAACAGGGCGCTGAACAGCGACCCCTCCGCCATATGGGCAGCGACTGCCGTCGGCGGGATCGCGAGCACGGCCGAGTAGCGATGCTGCAGGACAGAGCGGATCATGGCCTTCAGTGTAGCCAGCTCGTCTTGGTCTGACGTTTTCGGCAGCTGTGGATTCACCGCAATCGCAATGACGGCACGAGATCCAATGTCGACTTGCGGTCTGCCGCCAACGAGGTCATGACCTGGCGCGGCATTCGCAGGAATGCTGTCACGCCCTCGATGTTTTGCTTCTGCAGTTCAGAGAAAACACCGACGCCGATCACATCCTGGAAGCGTGATGATGGCATCGTCTCCCATGTCAACCGTCGAATTCCACCTGGTCGGCAAGTCCTGCTGGGTCGGCTCCCTTGCTGGCGAGCTTGGCGATCTCGGCCTCGCGGCGGTACGACTGCCGGACGACCTTGCTGCGCCTGATATGGACGGGCGCCTCGCGCAGTTCGGCGTTGGTCAACTTGATCAGTTTGAGAACTTGGACAATGCCGATCTGGACCGAATGATCCGCGCAGCGAATATAGTGGCAAGCCCGCAACTTCTCATATCCGGCGTCCGCGTTGACAGTACTGATTGCATCGGAGCCAGTGTCGCTGGTGACAGCGAGCAGCTTCGTCGAGACATCATGCCCGAGGCTTTGGAGGTGCTCAAACAGAGCAGTGCCAATGCGCTTGCCGACACCCCTTCCGGACTGCACATCGAGGATCGTCAGCAGCATGGATTTCGACGCACCAGATTTGGTGTCGATCCAGTGCACCGTGCCAATCCAAAATCCCTTCAGGTTGCGGCTCAACCACTCATCGATGGTGAGCGAAATGGCGACATCCAGGTTGGAGAAGAACGCCCTGACGATGGGCAGCATGATGGCGTGTTGCTCGACAATCCTGCGAATGACAGTGCGGGTCGACGGGCCCTCGTATCCCTGCATCAATGTGTGGACCAAGGTCTTGAACTTGTCGCTGTCGATGGCTCATAAAGAGATTGCACCGTGGATAACAAAATCAACCACCGCGTTCTCAAACTTTACCAGGAGGCGATCCGGGATTGCTGGCCGGCTCAGCGTTTGCTGCATTAGGCGGCTCGCCGATGCCGACGTCCCGACCTCGCTGCCTGGGGAGAGCACGTTGTGCTTCTTGAGGTGGGCTTTCCACCTCGACGTGTTCGTGTGGGAGGAAAGCCTCCGATTCGCGCCGTTCGCTACGTACGCTGCCAAAGAGATTCAACATGCACACGTACAGCCATAGGAGCCGGGACCCCCTTTTCTGACCGTAGTGCAGCGCGAAGGCCGAGAGCGTTGTGCGCGCAGGAATGTGTTGCAGGGCAGCTGTGTCCGCGGTGAACAGAGCCTCCTCTGTTGGGAGAATGCCGCTGAGCTCTGAAGGTTTTGGTCACCGTCACGACGGGTTCTCTCCAACTAAGAATCCCACCGGGAACACAAAGCGAGGAAACGGAAAGGAAAAGAAAACCCCGAGTCAGTTGCTGGAACTTGGAGGCACAGATTAACGTTTCACGCTGTGTTCTCGAGGGTGAATAGTTTGTTTTGTTCCCTTATGGGGTTTTTTTCCAGACCTTTGCAAAATAGTGCATTCGTTAACAAGAAAGGTCTAGTGAGTAAAAAAAATATATAAAAAGACGATGTACTTAGCAGGGTGGTTAATGGGATGGAATGCTTTCAATGGTCATTTGTTCATGGCTGAGCTTTAAAAGTGCAAAGTCTGAAAACGACTTTAGAACAGAATTGACATGCTTTATCCCAATTTCATTTGGAAAAAAAAAAAATAAGTCTCCTTCTCTGATAATAACAAAAAAACCAACTTGATTAAATGTTACACGTGGGCCGTTACCATAAAACCAGTAACGGCAATGAAGTCGCATTTCATCACGTGCGTCTTCAACTCAAAGCGGCGGTAATAACACACCCCGAGCGCGCGAGCACACGCCGCCGAAATTGGCAGCGGGCAATGAACAATATTCCTGCATAGAGAAAGCCTCACAAGCTGAGCACTTCAGGCACTTCGTGTAAGCCACCTTCTGCCGCGCAAGCGCAGAGGGCCGGGAGAGTCTTTCCCGCCAACTCGTGGGGCCATGCACCGCGGGCGCTTCCACTCCACCAGCCTCAGTGAGCCACTTCTCATTCAAGGCAAACCCAGCGATGTCCACATTCACGATGGCGATGAACTGAGTTGCCGTCTTTCGTGTCTCCAAAGGGGGCCGCTTTACGTTTGACGGCCCCGCGCAAATGTGCGTGGCGCGTCGGCGTCGCGCGGTCTCCCCGCGCGAGATTACAAGTGTTGCAGCATGAAAGCTGCTTTGGTAATGGTCGTTGTGGCTGCCGTTTTATGCGTGTTGAGGAGGATTTAAATGGCAAAATAACAACGTGCCAACGCAGCGGAGCCAGCGGGGGTTGCCAGGGAGCTTAGACAACAATCTGCGGAACACGTGGATGAATGAGAGCGGACCGAGCAAGGAACGTCTCACTTGCGCTTAATTGCAAGGAAGACGTTACGGTCAAACATGTACACAATCCGTCATGTAACTGCAACACACTTCCCTGATCACAAGCGATGATTTGTTTCAACGTTTATGGTGACCGCTTCGATTTTAAAGAAGTTAATGCATTTAGAATGTTTTGTCACGCGGCAAATGAAATGTAACCGTTTAATTGTGGCTCTTACTAATACAGCAGTGTAAATATAATGCATACTGAGCGTATGCCTTTGGACATATTGCTGACAGTTCGTGTGCATGCGCGAATGCTGTTGCTAATCGCCAGGAATCTTACTGAATCGGTAACAAACATTTTGACCAATAGGCCAGAACCATGGAGACCCCCAGGTCAGGGCTATTGGGAAATAAATATATTGGCCATCTGCTGCGTGTCAGATAACAGCACAAAAAAATCCTTACGTATAAACATTAGAGTTCACGGCCATGAATGTGCTTTTACTGATAATGCCATGATGTAATTATAGATAATGTCTGCAGCTTGCTTTTCACGTGTGAGAAATGCAGAACGTGCCACTTAATGGCAGTGGTAGCTCGCAGAAGCGTGCATGCGAAGCAAATGTTTATTCACTGCGATTACTGGAGACACCGCACCTCATGCTATCCTGCATAGCCTCTCTGGTAGGATTTGAATGTTATGTTTGTGCATGGTCGGTATAATGTTGTATAATTATGTAATAATGCGGACCTCTCCGCAAAATATATTGAAACTCTTAGCCATCCATAAATACATTTTTTTAATGAAGATCACTGGGAACCAAGCAATGGACAATTTATAGTCCAACCAACCTCGTGAACTCCTGTGATTTAGAAAAGTGTTTTCTGTCATGAACCGCAAAGATTCACCGAGAGAAGCATGCTTGGAATTACACGGAGAGACAGAAAGAGGAGCACATGGACCAGAGAACGTACACTGGTTAGTGACATCACGATGAGTGTTCACAACGTGTACAGGTTAGTGACATCACGTTAAGTGTTCATCACGTACACAGGTTAGTGACATCATGTTGAGTGTTCACAACGTGCACAGGTTAGTGACATCACGTTGAGTGTTCATCACGTGCACAGGTTAGTGACATCACGTTGAGTGTTCACAACGTGCACAGGTTAGTGACATCACGTTGAGTGTTCACAACGTGCACAGGTTAGAGACATCACGTTGAGTGTTCACAACGTGTACAGGTTAGTGATATCACGTTGAGTGTTCACAACGTGCACAGGTTAGTGATATCACGTTGAGTGTTCACAACGTGCACAGGTTAGTGACATCACGTTGAGTGTTCACAACGTGCACAGGTTAGTGATATCACGTTGAGTGTTCACAACGTGTACAGGTTAGTGACATCACGTTGAGTGTTCACAACGTGCACAGGTTAGTGATATCACGTTGAGTGTTCACAACGTGCACAGGTTAGTGACATCACGTTGAGTGTTCACAACGTGCACAGGTTAGTGACATCACGTTGAGTGTTCACAACGTGTACAGGTTAGTGACATCACGTTGAGTGTTCACAACGCGCACAGGTTAGTGACATCATGTTGAGTGTTCACAACGTGCACTGGTTAGTGACATCACGTTGAGTGTTCACAACGTGTACAGGTTAGTGATATCACGTTGAGTGTTCACAACGTGCACAGGTTAGTGACATCACGTTGTGTGTTAACAGCGTGCACAGGTTAATGACATCACGTTGAGTGTTCACAACGTGCACAGGTTAGTGACATCACGTTGAGTGTTCACAACGTGCACAGGTTAGTGACATCACGTTGTGTGTTCACAACGTACACAGGTTAGTGACATCACGTTGAGTGTTCACAACGTGCACAGGTTAGTTACATCACGTTGAGTGTTCACAACGTGCACAGGTTAGTGACATCACGTTGAGTGTTCACAACGTGCACAGGTTAGTGACATCACGTTGAGTGTTCACAACGTGCACAGGTTAGTGACATCACGTTGAGTGTTCATCACGTGCACAGGTTAGTGACATCACGTTGAGTGTTCACAACGTGCACAGGTTAGTGACATCACGTTGAGTGTTCACAACGTGCAAAGGTTAGTGACATCACGTTGAGTGTTCGTCACGTGCACAGGTTAGTGACATCACGTTGAGTGTTCACAACGTGCACAGGTTAGTGATATCACGTTGAGTGTTCGTCACGTGCACAGGTTAGTGACATCACGTTGAGTGTTCACAACGTGCACAGGTTAGTGACATCACGTTGAGTGTTCACAACGTGCACAGGTTAGTGACATCACGTTGAGTTTTCATCACGTGCACAGGTTAGTGACATCACGTTGAGTGTTCACAACGTGCACAGGTTAGTGACATCACGTTGAGTGTTTACAACGGTGAGTGGGCACGGGGAGGATGTGTCACCCCTAAAAGGATAATAGCCAATGGTCGAGACTCGTAAAGGAGTGGCAGTTAAAGGAGGTTAACCGGACAAACGACGTGGAAATGGAGTGATGATGGAGTGATGTGCTCATGTGCTGGAGCTCGATTCATTTTTGCATCACAGGATCATCAGGGAGGGTGTCCATTTCAGCCGGCCTTCATGCTGAAGTGGTTCGATCATGGCTCATGATGATTCCATTTTTTTTATTTTCGTTCCCAAGAAATGCTTTTAAATATCACCTCTGCTGTGCATATGTGAGGCTGAGAGAGGGCACCAGACAATGGTTGTTCACATTTTTTATGTTTTAAATGTTAGGGCCACATCATGACTCGTGACACATTGCTGGAAATTGCCTGTCATTTCAAACAACACTGAAAATTTCCATGAGTGCAGTGGATAGACACCACATCAAAATCCAGGTGTGGTGTGTGCTTGTAATCGAGCGGTTTGGAGGCAAGGATCGGTGGATCAGAAATAGATGGAACAACAAGTGGGTATTTTAACCCACCGTGTTTGACTTATGAGTATAATTCCTCATATGGCCATGGGTCTTCTCCGGCTACTTGTGGTTTTACTCCACATGCCAAAAGTACCGTCGAAAAGGAATTGGCCATAAACTGATGAAGCTCCGCTGACTCAGATATGAGCAGCCAGCTTGGACTTGGTTCCGACATCCGAACGTGATGCCCACTCTAACACGGCAGCTGATACGATTGCGACGCCCCATCTCTGCAGGGTTACGATTGAACCACGTTGTTGTTGTTGTTGCCGCGAGAGGTGTAACATGCACGGATTTTATTTTCATATCAATTTTTAACTTGACGATGCTTGCATCGAATGACCTGCGTCAGAATCGATTTTTCCCACCTTCAAGATACACGTATGTAAACAAAAGTAGAAGTGATTTCCTCCTCACGTGACCGTTGAGGCTCATCTCCTGTTTACTGCCCCGAGCCAGTGGTGGATATTCCTCATTGCTATGGCGGGGGCGAGTCTATTAATAGAACAACAACTGTTCATTTCCCTAATTTTATCCTCCCTACAGAGATGATGGGCTGAGTCAACCCCCAACAAGGATTTGAACTCCCAACCTTCCAATGGCGAGCCACTCGCGCCACCGATGAGCCAGCCACGTTGCGTGTCGTGAGTTCCTGCGACCGCTGTAATCACGGATCACTGCACTGTGAACGAGCTGTCATCCCGGATGATAAGGCATTCGCTAATGATTCCACAGTCGCTCATGACATGCTCATATTAAGCATCGTACTGTGCCGCATTTCTAACGTGAATATTGGGGACAGGCGAGACCCAGGAGGGGAGTAAACAAGAGGAGGTTGCGTGTGTGAGGGAATGAGAATAGTCCGTCTCTTACACGGCACGCTGAACACAGTGGGATCAATTACTCGGTGTCTCTGTCAAAATGTTACAGCGGAGGAGAGAGGGAAATAACCGTACTGCAACGTAAATAGAATCCCGTGCAGGGTATGGGGAGAGAAATCATCACGCGTGGAGGGGAGGAGGAGGAGGAGGCCTGAGCTTGGACTTGAACTGGGCGGTTGCAAGGCAGCAACATCAGCAGTGAGGATGAGCAATGGGACCATAGTTCGGTAGATAAAGGCGCCGCCTTGCCTTGAGGCGATTGGAGATGTGAGGGCCCAGCTCGGTGGAGTGAGTGAGTGGAGGCCACACGAGAAGGGGCAGAGCGAGATGAGATTTGCAGGCAGACACGGTTTAAGCCCGTGCTGGTTTCGAAAAGTGTGTGAAAATGCATTGCAATAATCTCTGAAGAGATTGTTCCTCTAAAGGCACCTAGTTCTAAATGAATAGTTTTCTGTAGTACGCCGATATAAATAACTTAATATTATGGAGTCGGTGCGTAATTACGTTTCTACGGTTTTATGAAGCAATTTCCTTTCCCAATGGCGTATTAAAAAGCCATGTCAAATGTGTTTAGTCTCGCATTCATTAAACCGCGCTTTAATAAACAACATCGCCCCCAACAGTATTACAGTAGCATACAAATCACGCCGACTTCAAACAACAGCAATGCAAAGCGCGTCTCGACACTGAACAGCCAATCGGTGCCTCCGCTTTCCTGAGTTCACGTGGCTGCTTTTGCCCAACTTTGGCCATTTCTCGCATGGAAAATTGGCAGGAGAGCCGTTTTCCAGCGGCAAGTGAGCGAGGTGAAATGCGAATAAGCCCCCTTAAAAGCAAACATTCTGAAATCAAACGTTTGCGCCTTGTAGAGGTGGTGGCAAGTCTGTATTGCTAGGACACAAATGCACCTGTGGCCAGGTGAGATCGGTAAACACATCTCAACTGCTGTCATCATCACGTAGACAATTATGATTCAACAACGAATTGAAAAACAGAAAGCTATTCCTCCGCACTGTGATTCTAAAGTGTAAATCTGTGACGGCATTTTTGATGCCACAGTAAGGCATCAGGTATCCCTCCCGGCAGGTTTTGTTGGACCCGCCGTATGTTGTAAATTCAGCGCTAATGGCTGCACCATGATAAGCCTGTAAAGCAGAGATGGTTAATTTGTCGCTTAGCAGGAGAGCATTATGGTAAAAACAATGTGAAACGAATGTGCAAGGAGCAAAACAAACGCCACACTTTCACCAAAAAAATGCGTCCTTAAAAATAACCAGTCCGTAATAGGCAACGTTTCAGGCAATGGCCCTTCTTCAGAGCACGTAAAGAGGCCAGATTCTACCTCTCTGGTTTCTCTCTCTGTACTATGAAGAAGGGTTGTAGCCTGAACCGTTGCCTTTTATTTATATTTCTGTTTTGTTGTAAGGCCAAACACACGATGTCATTGAGGGCTGTGTTGTGTCACGGTTATTTGTGTTTGTACATCACTGCCGACGCAGCATCACCAACTTATTGGTTTGTGTGCGAAGAAGATAAAGTACAACGGTTAAAGGTGATGTTATGAATTTAAAACGTATACGTCTGCCATACTAAAAATTGTTAATGTAGAAATAGTTTTGAAGAATCGGCACAGGCGAATAATAATTAAACAATAATTCACATCCCTGTGCCAAGCAACTGCTGCATGAAAAGCGGCCCATGCCACATTGGCGCTGGGGGTCAGTTTGACCATACTTTACCAAGCTGGTCAGTGCGAGTTGTTGCTGAAAAGTAACCCACGACCTGCTTGGCTATCACCCGCCACTGACGTTAGCCATGGCCAGAGTTCAAACTCGGCGTTATCAGATTCATCGTTGATTTTTTTTTTTAGGGATCAGGTCGCCGCCGCTTGAGTTAAACGCCAAAGTGTGTTGTACACCCTCCTCCACCCGACACAGCCAGATAGATAACAGGTGATCAGGCAGCAGCACCATCACCGGTGTGCTGCTGGAGAGCGGTCCACGCGCGCGTTTAAGAATCGGGTCTTGGTGTTTAGTTGAAAGTTACAGCCAGCAACATCAAGCGTTTGCCACAATTGTGAACATTTCCTCCAAACGTGTTCAATAGTTGATACTGTATAGTTAATAGTGCAGTGTGCTAACCGCTGCGCCACCACTCCCCGGCCTAACATAGGCAAAGGGTTATTGTACAGTGTTTGCTTAGAAAGAAGGTTTCAACTATTCATCGCTTAGTCCTGCATCGGAGGATGAGGCGTTACCCCGAATTGCTGTCCGATGTGTTAGGATTTGTGAATTGTTTGGTAAGCATGTCTTTCACACTTGGTGACCTGAGCCAGAGTTCCTGTAACGATTGATGTCCACTACAGGGAATTTCATTGATCACTGGCACACCCCAAGCCGCAGGGTATCGCAGCCACGTGAAACACTATTTGCGTGTATCCTACACTGACGAATGGAATGTCAAAACCGTTTATGACATCTTAATTGTCATGGACATAATTGTCAATGGTCTGATTCCGTTTCTAATCAGGCTTTGCCTAAATGACTGCGTTATTCCGTAATGTTCGGTTTCACTGGCGCGTCGCTTGGGAACATGCTCACCCATAGGCTCGACCTTTCTCGTTGGCAATAAGGGTGTTATGTAGAGAAGATAGGCCGAGCAGAGCGAAGCTTGATCCCTTTGTACGACTGCGAATGTCATGACAGCATCGTTATTGTTGCAGCAGCTTTTGCTTCTGGCTTCCACTCATCAACTTGGAGGAGGACGTAACCCTTCAGCCCTATACAAGCATGCGCTCGAGGCACGTCTTAAATAATCCAGAGGTGATGAATATTTAAACGCGTCTGCGCCTAAATAAAGTGCATCACTTACATGTATTCTGGTGGCCCCTTTATAGACACGTGCGTGCGCGCGTGCGTGTGTGTGTGTGCGCGTGCGTGTGCGCGTGTGCGTGTGTGTGTGCGCGTGTGTGTGTGTGTGTGTGCGTGTGTGCGTGCGTGTGTGCGCGTGTGTGCGTGTGTGCGCGCGTGCGTGTGTGTGTGCTACGAGGCGTGTGGGGGGGGTTCAAGGGAAGGCGATGTCTCGGAACAGCCACGTGTGGTGGAGTAGACCTCGAGCACAAACTGTGTGCGACGAGCAGTCCGACTGCTTTAACCGAGCGCGACGTGAAGTCACAGTATTTATAAGTCCTGATTAACCTGACCTCCGCCCCAAATTTGCCAGTATTTCTGGTCTCTGTTTCACCGAGCACTTACGATGCTGCCTAAAGCTTCTACGTGAGATTCATGGAAATGTATTTTCAGTGCTGGAAGCAGGAGACAATCGGTAGGTAGACAAGACAAACGATTGTAGACACGCTTGTCCTCTTGCGATGGGGTTCATTCTTTTTCAGAAAGTCACTCGGAGGAAAACTATATCTTCCACAGAGTGATTTACACACTCCATGCACCGTGTTTGCCACAGCCTTGTCTGTCGGTAAAGCTGAGATGCGGACCGCGATAATGCAGGAACTTGTTAAAAACTACGATTGAAATCTCAAATTTTTTAGGAACCACATTTTTTTTATCAAGGCTTAACCGAAAGAGTAATGGTCGCTAATTATGCAGGGACATCCTCGCCGCGTCTCACTACTTCCAGGGGTCCACTCTTCACCTCATGTGGCCAATTTGCTCCTGAGCCTTACGTCGTGTGGGAGGAAACCGATAATCCAAGAAAGAATAATTACTTAGAAATCATCATCTCCTCTGTTCCACGTGGATTAACATTTCACAAATCAGTTGCAATTGAACAATACCAAAAAATAAGCCGGATTAATAAAAATAGAGTGGACAGCATTTCGCAATTCGCATGGCTCACCAACCTACTTGCTATACTACATCCCCTGGATACAATTGGGTTTTTCAAACACGCAGTGATAATGATCGAGTGAACCACCAACCCCAACTTCAAATCACGTGGAGTACACATATGTTTGTCACCTGTCCCGGTTTGACCCCAGTACATTGTGAGAATCGGCATCTGCGACAGGGTGGCAGAGATTTGATTTCTACCGAGATCTGGCAGGAGTATTTAGTTTAACTTTATTGCCGTTATCACAGAAGTCTGCTGCACAGTTTTTAATAATAATAGTAGATCTAGGACGACTCACTCGCTCGCTCGCTCGCAACGCTCACCCACTCACTCGCTTGCAACGCTCACAACGCTCACCCACTCGCTCGCTCACAACGCTCACTCACTCGCGATGCTCACCCACTCACTCGCAACGCTCACCCACTCACCCACCCACTGGGGTTGCCACCCGTCTTGGTTTGACCCGGGAATTGGCGTCTGTGTTTGAGATCTGGTGGTTTTGTGTTGAACTGCGTCGCGGTATGTGGCTCGGTTTTAATAATAGACCTGGGCCGACAGAGAAATATGCTTTGGTCTTCAGTGGGAAAGGTGGCAACTATAATTGCAAGCACGTGGGATTGTGGTTTTCCATTTTCGCACAACTAGGGGTTGAAGGATCGCTCTGTTCCCCCATTGTGTATAGCGCACACTGTGCTCGCTGTTAGATCATGCATAGTTATTTCTAAACAGCTTCAATAGTGCAGAGCTGCAGGCTGTCGATTCGTCATCCATTGGTTAATGAGGTTTTTATCCTGTGGCCGTCACTGTAGAGTGAAACGTATGCATGCATATGTATGGGGATGTTTTCTTTGCATGGCCAAAGATTTAACAGACGCATAGCAGTACATTTTTAGCTTTGTTGTTCAAGAAAAACAATGAAAATGCTAATCATGTTTTTTTGCTTTGTTTGGTTGTGGAGGTGTTTGCTTCCTGCCCAATTCATCTCTCCATATGTGTTCTTAACTTTTTCCCGTTCCCACTATCCGTGCGTCTAACCAGGCCCCTGCATTATGCATCACGTTCTTATCTTTGCGCATTTGCCAACGCATTTCCCTGCTTACGGTATTTTTCTATTTGCCGCCGCTGTTACCTCCATAATGTTAACTCTACAACCAGGGCGCTGAACTTTGTCCACACCCGATGATGCTGGGCGAAACGTCGTTTAAAAATTGTCAAAGGGTTGCTTGCTTTTGAACATTCCTCTGGTTTGCTGATAAACCAAATCAATTGGCACATTCACCCACGTGACAAGTTGATTTGGTGTAGGGTTAGAGTTCAAAATTGTCAGGACACCTTCACGCTGAGCTAACCGAAAATAAACAAATAATTCATCTACAACAAAGTTAGAATCCCGCTGCCATATCCGGGGTGCTGCACCCAGTTTCATTTTTTTTGCACTTGACTGAATTCGATTTAAAGCAGTCAGCGTGGGCGATGATTCAGCACTCACTGATGCACTCTAGTCATATGCTCATCGGCGGTCAGTCGCCTCCTTATCTCTCTGCTGTCGCTGCTACCATGGTTACTCTTCCCGCTATCATCGCTGTTTGATTCCTTCTCCCATGTTGAATTCTTTGTCTGCCAGACTTTCTGTTTCCTCTCATCCACGCTGTGTCCACCCCCTCACTGCAGGTCACGACACTTCTCTTTCTGCGTCTTCCCTCGCACTGCTAAACTCTGGAACTCCTTCTCACACTTTCGTTCGCCAATCTCTTCTAATAACCTTGCTCAATTCACAGAAACGGCTTAAACACATCAATAAAACCGTTGTGTTAAGCTGTTAAAGCACCAAACAGAAACCTTTTGCAAATAATGATGTCTGCATTAACCTCGCATACTCGTTGTGAACATGCAAACAAAACCATCGTCTGACAGTGTATGATGCATTATCTGTGAAACTGATTGGTCGACACCAGAGACAGCTTTATTTAGAACCTCGTCTCAAACGGTGTTCGACCAGAGGACGCCACAAGGCGAGCAGCACGATGCAGACACAGTAAAACCTTGGGTTGCGAGTAACTTGGTCTGCGAGTGTTTTGCAAGACGAGCAAATTCTTTAAAAAAAATATTAACTTGATAAACGAGCGAGGTCTTGCAATACGAGCAGTGTACGTGTACGCTTTGTCTGCCGAGCGTCACGCGATCACAACTGATATACAACGAGTGCTTTGATGTACGAGTGCTTTGGATTACAAACACGTTTCCGGAACAAATAATGCTCGCAATCCAAGCAAGGTTTTGCTGTAATTTCTTGCAAAAGGTTTCTGTTTGGTGTTTTAACATCTTAACACAACTGTTTTATTCCCATAAAGGGTAAAAGCAACTCTTATATTTTGACACTGGCAAGAAAGGTTCCGTGATGAAACTTTTCAATTAAAAATGTATTTGTGCTGTTTGTTGCTACCCGCTCGATGTTTGGTGCTTTTGGACCCGTGCTTAGCAACTGTGTTCAAATCACAAAAATAGTGCCGCTTGTCCGTCTTCCCCTATTTTGCAAACGAGACTGCTGCTCCCTTGACTTGTCCCCTGCTTCACGGGACGTCAACGTGAACTCTCGGCCGTTGCGTTGTGCTCCCCCCCCGCCTCCCCCCCCCCGGCAGTCGCTGGTGTTCCTGGTGGGCATCGCCGCGGCGGGGCTGGCGCTCAACCTGCTCGTGCTCTTCGTCTACTTCGTGCGCCTCTGCTGCTGCCGCCGGCACGAGGATGAAGCGCAGAAGCGCTCCAACGTTTGCTGCACCACCTGGTGCATCGTCATGGCCACGCTCATCTGCAGGTACGGCCGTGCGGTGGCTCGGAGATGTCGTCTCCCTCGCCTGGCACGCAGGAGGTCGTGGGCACGATCCCGACCCTGACACGTGTATATTTGGAGCTTGCGTGCCTCTCTCCCCGTGGGTCGCGGGGATTTTTCTCCGGGTCCTCCTGCTTTTCCTTACACATATTACAAACATTCGTTTAGAGCATGATAGGCCACTCCGTTGAGCTCTCATTTGTGGCCAGGTCATTTCTGAAAAAAAAGCTACATAGCTCAGTGGGCCTTACTTGAACAACAAACAAAAAAGTCCGCCTGCTGGGTGCCGATGGCCTCCGTGTGCCCCGTGCGGCTCGTGGCGGTTGTTTGACGGCACTCCATCACGACGGTCGGTGACGGTTCGCAAGGATGGGGGAGTGCAGCCGTCTGCTGACAACGAAGCCGTGCAGCGACCCGTGGCAACCTGGCATGCGTGGCGGTCGCCCCATCCAAGCTCTAACCAGGCTCAACACTGCTTCGCTGCTGAGATCTGTCGAGAACCAAAGAAGATGCTATGTTATTTCCATGTTTAATATACAGTGCCGCCGTTCAGGAGTTCAACTCAGAATTTCGGCATTTCAAGTTTGGTCAAATGAATTCCACTTTAAACTTGATTCCACTTTGTTGGTGGGAAATCAACAGTGCTTTTCTGATAAATCGGCTACCACCCACCATAGGAATATGGAATTTCCACCACTGACAGAGGGCTACCATTGGCATTGAACAAAACCTCAGGGTGGTATGAGTGGCGAGACACTTGGTGTTTTTAGCACGGAAGTCCAAGACATTCCGTATGCGATTGAATATCCATTCAAGCCAAATCAACACTTCATTGCGAGTTTATGTGAAAAGATTTCCCTTCACTTCATCCATGCACCCGTCTCACTCTGTCTTTCATTGTGACCGAAACAGATCGTATTCATTTTCCAATGTTCCCACATGAGCCCATTTTATTTCAACTCGGCAGGTGTTTACGTGATGCACACTCCGATTCCAAACCACTAAACGAAATGAAGCGACAAATTGTTTGATGTCTGCTGTTCACCAGTGTTACGTGCGTGCGTGTGCTTGCCGTTTGCAACTGGTTTTGTGGCACAAAAACGCTTCCCTGCGGCCTCGGAGCGAGGCTGCTTCAGTAGTTTTGCTGCTGTGTCTCTGATTCATCTGTACCGACAGCACATTCAGAGGGGCCACAATGCTGCGAGCAAAGGAAGATAAAAGATATTTCATTTACGAGATGGCCTATTTGTCATGGTCTGTAGTTGTTGTTAATCTGTTTTGTTGTCAGAATTTCAGGTCTATGAAGCAACATTAAACTAAACTAAAACTCTGTAAGAACATTGTGTAAATTAGTCCAAAACTTCCACAGCTTAGAATAACCAGGGTTTACATTGCTAGTTTAGTGAGTTGGTAGTGTAAATCTGTAATAACATTCATATAATACTAAACAATAAACTACAGTCACTTACAGCCCTTTGTCAATCCACTGCTGGATGAAGGCCTCTCCCAAGCTGTACTGGTATTGGCACACAAGGACAGGCACGGTAAATCCAAGCCTCAGGTTAGCCCCATCAATTAGATGGTGATGCTGTTGGCCACCTTGTCAGGTTTCAGATAGGGATACTTGATTGGACGCTGTACTTCACCCCGTTGGTAAATGCTGGTTGGTGATGGGGGGGGGAGGGATGCTCAGGTCTCGTTCACACGGTGCTACTGATGCTAGCGATGAGCGGAATGTCGAACCCGGGTCTCCCCGGCTCACGGCGCAGCGTGTGGTGAGCCTCTATGCCACCACCCACTTCTACCCCAGCATTAACTCATCCTGCCGGAATTTTTTATTGGCCAATTTTATTTGTATTCATAACAACAAGAAGAGCTTTCCCACGGCGTGCACACGGGCGATGAATGGGTAGGGCGCAAGTGCTTAGCGACGCTCTCGGGGTTCGAGAGATGTGCGACGTGAGGCACCTCCGTGCGGACACGGCCTACGGGCACCGTGTGGGGGGCACACACCGCACCACTCGGCTTGCAATGTCCTGTGAGACCACAAGATACTGTGGTCTCACAAGGACTGGCTCTGGCACGTGCAGAGTGTGATCCGATGCACATATGTCTGTGTGTAAGATGCTCGGAGTGGGTGGTAAGGCCTCGGAGTGCACCTGGCCTGGTACGAGCACCGCGGGGACAGTGGCTGCTGCTGTTGTTGTTGGTGGTGGTTCTTATTATATTCGAGTTCAACCTATATTAATTATAAAACCCCTATTTAAAAGTCCTTAATCATTACGACCACGTGTGTTCCATTCGCTATTTTAAACGCTATGCATATGTACACATGCAGACTTGTACATGTTTAGCTTCTGATATCTCAAGAGATAGGGTGCATCTTGGGCGATTTGGTCATTCGGCAAAATTGGACAATATTACACAAAGGTGACCTAATATTCTAAATCCTGCTTATGAACAATGGGGGTTTCTTCAACACATGAACGTGTTTAAGCCAAACCCATTTGTGAATCCTAATTTGTTTTGCCGACGTCATTCGCACTCAGGCGACTCTACCTAACGTACGGTTGTTAAATCCGTTGAACAAACTCGGAGGGAGGGACACGAGTGTGTGGGGTCAATTGAATTGCAGTCTGCTCTGCCACGATAGGTTAAACCCCGAGATTGAGTTACAGATGACAGGGAGCGAGCGTAATCCTCGGAGATGCTGGGCAAGTCCAGTAAGTGCTGATAAGGCTCTTGAGCGGGCAGTGGTTGTTGTTGTTGTTGTTGCCACGCTGGAGGATACTCGGAGTTGATGAGAATGAGGGGAATATTGCCGCGGGTCTCGCGTGCCCGTACGGCGTGGTTTCTTTCCTCAGACCTTAACCGTTGACTTAAACCTTGCGATGGAGCCAGATCACCCAGAATGATCTGGCTCTTGGAAGCTAAGCAGAGTTGAGCCTGGATAGCGGTTGGACGGGCGACCACCCTCCGTGCTGCCTTCGGCTGCTGCTCGGGGCTACGTTGTCAGCGGATGGAAGCGCAGCACAATCCATTGTTGTACTGTACTCTGTGCCAACGTCTATGCTCCCCACCTTTACCCTCCCGCACTGACCAGGGTGGTGAAGTACGGTCCCGCACAGCGTAGGGAGACCCTCATCCTGCAGTCAGCCGTGCATGTCCAGCGCGTGGGTGACTTCATTGCAAGGGTTAACGGATGTGTGCACTCTTGAGATTTCAGCACGTGTAATTGTGGGAGGATTTAGTTTAAATTGTGTTTCATTCGAATCTGCCTTTGTAGCATAATTTGCATGGCATGCTTGGGCTAGGGTTGAAGTAACACCGCATTCACAATCGCTGATGTGGAATGGCAATACAAAGCCTGGCCACACTGCTCTGTGGCAGCCCACTGCGCCGATCGATGTGACAGGTGACATTTTGAACAGTTACTGCCTCCAGTCCAGAATTATGGTGTCCATCCGTCACTGTAATTGATTCTAGTGGTTGATTATTTCCTCATTAAGTAACAATAATTATCCCAAGCGATCGTTCGCGCAATGCTTTTGATGTCTGCTTTATTTGGCCAACACTTGGAAAATAGGATTTCACTCGTACGATGCAATGTTGCTGACCGAGAAGGGAAGGTTTATCTCTTCATTTCGTATGAAAATGTATTCCCACCATGCTTTTATGGTCCATAGTACGAGGAAATATACACAGGGTAGTCCTCTACTTACGATGGAGATGCGTTACGACGACCCCCATCGTAAGCCGAAAATATCGTGAGTCGAAGATGGTCTAGCCTACCCAGGAGTCTTAAAGAATGGTGATAATTGAGCAAAACAGCAATTTACAGTTCCGTACTGTATAAACTATATACTGTATGTATTTATTGATTACAATACTGTATTGCACAAGGTAAATTCTTAGCCTACCTATATAAACTGCAATTTAATGGAAAGTTTTTTCAGGAAACAATCCGATCTGCTATAAAAACTTTGAACATGCTTTAAGCGTATCGTATCGTGGTAAACCGACCACTGGTGAGAGTGAGGCATCGCCACACCAGGCGGGAGACGCGTACATCCCGGCAGCGTCTCAACGTACAGTATTGTACTTCGTACGCTGCTGCGTTTGCCTGCCGCGCGAAATGTTAAATATTTTACAATTTTGTCGTATCGCTATCGCCATCGTAAGATCGAAATATGGTAAGTCGGACCATTGTAACTCGGGGACTATCTGTATCTCGGTCAGCTCGAGCCTCCCGTAATCCACGTGACTTCCGTGTGACCACCCCACCCTGAGCGCCTCCCCTCTCCCCATCGCCGCCCACTGTGAAAACACACACCGCTCCTCCGTGCCGCTGAGGAGCCTCCTACTGCCTTCCCTTCCTCATCTCCCCCCGAAACCTTCGCTCAGTTTCTCCATTTCATTTCCACCCTTTTCCTCTCACCTCTCATTCCTTCTCTCTTCACATTCTTTCTTCTTTCCCCACGCATCACAACCCTTGACACTACTCCCCTTGCCGTGCAAGTTTAATTCTGCGCAGTGCACATTCGGTACAGGTTTGTAGAGCCAGGCAGTGGTCAAGGTTTGTTGAGCCAGGCAGTGGTCAAGGTTTGTTGAGCCAGGCAGTGGTCAAGGTTTGTTGAGCCAGGTAGTGGTCAAAGTTTGTTGAGTCAGGCAGTGGTCAAGGTTTGTTGAGCCAGGCAGTGGTCAAGGTTTGTTGAGCCAGGCAGTGGTCAAGGTTTGTTGAGCCAGGCAGTGGTCAAGGTTTGTAGAGCCAGGCAGTGGTCAAGGTTTGTTGAGCCAGGTAGTGGTCAAAGTTTGTTGAGTCAGGCAGTGGTCAAGGTTTGTTGAGCCAGGCAGTGGTCAAGGTTTGTTGAGCCAGGCAGTGGTCAAGGTTTGTTGAGCCAGGCAGTGGTCAAGGTTTGTTGAGCCAGGCAGTGGTCAAGGTTTGTTGAGCCAGGCAGTGGTCAAGGTTTGTTGAGTCAGGCAGT